TATGCAACAGCTGGACAGCTCATTGACATCCTTTTCACAATTCCCCTCCCATCGTACGGAATCTCCCGTCCAAGCGGGGTTGACCTTCCCATTCGACCGCATCTCGTCCATCAACGGTTTGACAAATAAATCAGATATACTAACATCTGTGTCCTTCAGGAATCCCTTCAATTCATCCGAAGCCTGTGACAACTCGTTGCAAGCTTCGCCGAGAAGCAAGCGTCGAAGGCCTCTCCTGCATTCCATATTCAGTCCGGCATCCGAAGTTTGTGTCATAGTGCTGGACAGCAACGCCAACCGCCCTTGCCAATCATTCCCCAAACAATGACCCACGGCCGCCAAATGTCCTTTTTGGTGATTACCCCGGACTATGCACCTCTTCAAAGGTTGATGAGCATTCTCGAACACCAGTTCCATAAAGTGACGTACATGCCCGAAGGCAGGAATTGTGTGGTTGTACAACTCGATTAACCTGTGCAGGTTCGGCTTGTCCAAGCTGGGGCGACCTTTACCCACTCCTTGGCAATAATTTGCGCAAAACTTGTCTGCCTCAGTCACATACTTCTCAGCCCTTTCCAGCAAGTCTGCATGGTATTGAGCTCCATTATCACTTGTCACATACAAATAATCTGAGACACCATCCGCCTCTTTCGATGGCCACCAGTACGTCAACGCAATCAATTCCTGCAATTGCGTCAATAGATCCAACACAACAGTGGTTTCTTCACTCTGGATCCCCGGGAACAGTTGGTAGAAAACCGGAACGCACACGAGAAGGGCACAGAACACACCTGACAGAGTCATGGAATTGAGTTCATTCTTGGAACTAAAAACTGATGATTGCCTCTTCAACCCATTGTCTCGGAGGGCTCCACATATTGCCATGTCAGCTTTTGCCCTGAACGCGGCCGCGTTTCCTTGTCGGTTAATCACGTGGAAGCCTACCTCGATAACGTTCTTCGCGAGACCGGCCAGCAAATGGTCAGGCGCGACGACGTTGCAGCGATATGCCTCAAAACGTCCTGACACCACACGCTTTCCATCGCTTGTTAACGGTATGTCAACGCGTACGCGCTCAAGTTCCCTTTGCAATGCAAGAAGAGGAGAACTTTCGTCACTAACCTTGTTGCTGTCTTTCATACCAAGCCGGTTTGTGTCTCGACTGTCAATTTCGCTGTTGCGAAGAGCTTCATGGCGTTCCATGCACCTCAAGGACGCCGTGCGGTGTGCATGGACTTTTGTTGTATAGCCGTATCCGCTCTCACCGACGCCGGTGTTCTTCCGAAATGTACAAAGAGTGCAGGGCGTATTTGCTGTATGTCCCATAACATCCAATGTTTCAGCGGCCGCTGGATAGTCAGCCACAAAACCCACCACGTCGACAAAGATTCTTACTCTCTCGCCGGTAGGCGTGTGTGCTTCCACACCTTCTGTTGTACACTTAACCAAGTCTGGAATGATTGAGAGCAGTATATTGTTCGTTGATACACCTGGAGGGGTTAATCCAATGATTCTGACAGACGATCGCGTGTTACGACTTCGCGGTGGTAGTCCAAGCGGGATCATGTAGCATCCACCTGCTGAACCCTGCGGATACAATGAAGAGAATGGGGAAAAGTCATCGCAGTATAGGAGAGCGCGATAGACCACGAACTTTGTTCCATCCATTAAGCGGCCGCTGTTTTGCATTCTTCTGTCAATGTTGCGGGTGCGTCCCGATATTTTGGGCTCTTGGAGGAGGAAAGGCAGCCCTTTCAAATGCTGAGTACCGAGCAGACGAAAGGGTTTGTCTGGAGTTCCATCGCCACCATCATTGAAACGCTGACCGGCCCCGTTTGTACTCATGTTTTGAAACCAAAACAAAGTGTCTGAGGTGAGACCTTCCTTGTGTTTCCAAAACCTAGAAACCAACATACACATTCTCGACGTTGCCACTGCTTCACTTTCTGTAGGTCGAAGGAGGGTACAAATATCCCCAGGCAACACCTTCTTCGAAGAACGAGCCCTTGCTTCAAAATCTATCCTTCCATCTCTACGCCTCACAGATCTATTATACTTTTCCAATGGCGGTGCTGTACAAAACTGCCTGGCCAGGCAATTCTCCACGCCACGGAGAACCTTCATCGCCATGTTGGCGCTTCTTGTAACATTTCCCTCACTTCCCACGCACCACACGGCTGAAATTATACACTTCATTACAAAGTTATTCTCTGCGTTCTCATGAACACGATAGCCCAGATTGCGCACGTCAAGTGACAAACGTGATGGAGGCAGTTTTGACAGTTCCAGTCGAATCACGGCACCCGGGAACGCCTGCACAGTACATGAACCATTGTGGACGTAAAGTGCTGTCGTAGCTTCCGATATTATCTGCCGCTCTGCAACCAGCTTCGAGCTTTCTATGCATTCTGCGTCCGCCACACCACCATGCCATCGACTGGATTTCGGATACATTGAGTTGAAGAACGGAGCCATCATGATGTCCACTTTCGCCCATTCACTTGGTGGAACGATACGAACAGGAGTTTTAGACCCGTTCGAATATTGCGATGCGGTCTCCTCGTTACCCCCCAAATTTTCAACCAATGACGTTCGGTTGAATGCCTTCTTCTTTCGTCGGACGACAAAGTATTTGAGGTCACTCTTGGGAAAAAGATACTTCAAAGCATGCGGAAAGAGAGTCCTCTGCACGGTGGAATAAGATGGGAACTTAATAGAAGGAGAAACCCAAGACAGTATATCTCTCAGGAGGTTATACTGTTTGACCGTATAGCGGACGCTACCGCAAACTATTACGAAGCCCAAAAGGTTGTACCATGGTTCGAAAAGCTTCCGAGACGATAGAAATATTCGCAAAACTTTCTGGCTGTCCAGCCTGCTTCCCATTTCGGGATCGTCACTTGATAAACTCGGAAGGCACTCCATCCCCTCACAGCTCTCTTGATAAATACTTGGAACAATGATATTGTCATTTCCCACTAAAACGCCGTTTGGATCGCTCTCGGGAGCGAATTGTTCCGAGTCGCCAAGTTCTGGGAAGTGGCCCTCATCATAGTCGACAAGATCTATTCCTTCTTCGACGACAACCGTTTCTCGATGTTCGGAGCCCTTTATCTTCGATCTAGTACCATGATCTCCAGTCTGATTGTTCGACGAAGCGTGCCCATTCAACACTCCCAAAATATCAGCCGCTTCGCCAGTTTCCGGAAGCTCGAGAGCTGGGGTTTCTTCTGCTTCCATAAGTGCGGCCGCATCTGCATCCCCATCGAGATCGCATCCTGGTCGTGTATGAACGTCATGGAACAGGGCTGCCAGGTCTGGCAAGTTAGGGACGTTGTCCATCCAAGTAGTGCCCATCGTACGACGTCTCTTTCTTCGACCTGACATATGAGGAACGGTGGTGCTGTCGTCCGATATTTTCGTGTGGATTATGGTGTTGGAAGAAGTGAGAGTGTAGGATGTTGTTGAAGGAACAGTGCGCAGGGGTCCCCAGGCCTGGCGGTTTAGACTTTGCACACCAAATAATTACATTACAAGTGGCGGTCTGCTAGTGTCTACCCGACCGTGAGGACAAAATTTGAGGACAAAGGGATTTTTCTTCGAACTCCTTGCTTGTTTTTTAGTTCTGATTTGAGTACTGGGTACTCCACATAGCCCTTGACACAATCAGCACAAATCGTTTGTTGTGGAGACAAGTTCTACCTCTAAAAGTGAAGCAGAACCTGGAAATCTTCACTGTAAGCAGTTTTTCTTTGTAGTACGAAATTGAAAATGGCTTCTTCGTGATTTACAAGGTATTTCATTGACAACCCCACCGTTCAAGTGCGATATGGCTGTCTTGAAGTATTCTTTCAGAAGAATTCGTGTCGGCTAAATGATGAAAAATTATTAAATTTGTCGGATCTGTTGAGGTATGATAAGCTTGGTCAGTCGGATACACACTACAGTACAGGGTATTAACTCTGCCTTTCTCTGTCCACCGTTGTTTACTCCGGTATCCCCCAACCTCCTCTTTCTTTCCCCTCACTAATCCACCATGACCACTGCCCTCGCATCTCCTTCCGTCCTTCTCTGCTTCTGTCTTTCTCTGCGCCCTCTCACGCAAGCCACGCCCTCGCTGTCGCACCGGCCCCACCCCTCGCATGCGCTTTCTGAACGATTCCAGCCACTATCAACTCTCGTGGCGATCTCAATTGAATAACACACTCTCTCAGGACTGCGATGGCAGAGAAAGACACCGGCGACAAGCCGCCTACAGAAAGAAAGAACACGTACAAGGAGGTTGACCTTTCTTGGAGCGATGCGAGGGCGAAGCTTGCGGAGTTGATGGGAACGATGAGCGTTGCCGGCGTCGATGGCAAGCCTGCCGAAAAAGAATATAAATTTTGGAAAACACAACCGATCCCCCAGATGGGACAGGACGATCAACTCGACCTGCTTGGTGATCATGGTGAGGCCATTGAGACTAAAACGGTTGACCAGGTATCGAAAAAACCTTACAACCTGATTGACTCTTTCGAGTGGTCAGACATAGATGTCACCGATGACAAGCAACTCGAAGAAGCGTATCGTCTTTTGAATGAAAACTACGTTGAGGACGGAGATGCCATGTTCCGCTTTGATTATTCCCGGGAGTTTTTGAGGTGGGCTTTGCTTCCACCCGGATAGCATCCAACTTGGCATGTGGGCGTCCGTGTCAAGTCCAATAAGAAACTCGTAGCCTTTATTACGGCTGTCCCAGCGACCTTGCGTGTTCACATGGATTCCGTGAAAGTGGTAGAGACCAACTTTCTTTGTGTCCACAAAAAACTTAGAGCGAGGCCACTCGCTCCGATACGAGAGATAACACGACAGGTTAGCTTGCAGAACGTCTGGCAGGCGGTATACACGGCTGGGTCCATCCTTCCGCGACCCGTCACGTCATCACGATACTACCATCGCTCGCTAAACCCCAAAAAGCTTATCGAAATCGGGTCACATCCGCTAATCTCCTCTCCGACTTAAAAGACGGAAACCGTAGCCATAAATACCTCATCCTCCACTCTTGTTCGACTACGGTACAACAACTCATCATGGTCCTCAGAAGAATCCTCACTGTGGTCTTCAGAAGCAGGGTCTGCGCTACTACTAGATGCCTCCTTCAAATTTGCGTCACCATCAGACTTCTCCTCCTCTGAGTCAGCCTTCTCCTCCTCGGGGTACTCTTCCACTATAGGCGCACTCGGATCCACGCCAACACTCTCACCAATCCACTTGTACATTCTGTCTGCGTAGCTCTTGTAGTCACTGTCCCGCATTACATATCCGGATGCAACTAGCGCAGTGTCGTACACAAGATGCCCAAGCTCGGCTGCTCTTTCATCGTCCTCTCCGCTTTCTACAAGGCGAAGCATCTCTTTTGTGATCGGGTGGTGTGCATTAAGCTCCATAATCTTACTCTTTGGCGTCATGTATCCGAAACTGTCGGGGTCCGCGAATGCTTGCGCTCTCATAATTATTTCCATTCTCGCCGAATAACCTTACTGGTCCGATGTCAACACACACACTGTATCACTGAGCCGGTTTGATAGTCTCACCTTGGAGACCTTGTCTCCCAACTTCTTTTTCAGGAATTTCGTCAGCGGCTTGTACATTTTCTTCAGAGCCTTGTTCTTCTCTTTCTCTTCTTTTTGATCTTTCTCACCAAATTTGAAGTTGTCTTTCGAAATTGACATGAACTTCGTGCCTTCGTAGTCAAGCAACTGGGTGGTCATGTTCTCGTCAATGGCCTGTGTCAAATAGAGAACCTCATACCCTTTTTTGATCAGTTTCTCGAGGAATGGACTATCCTTGACGGATTCGAGATCTGCACCAGAGTGATAATAGATCTGATCTTGATCTTCCTTCATGCGCTCCATGTATTGATCGAGAGATGCCCAATCATTGGGGTCTTGTTGTCAGTTTTCGAAGTGCGGAAGCGGAGGAGCTTCGCAAGTCGAGCTCTGTTTGCGCTATCTTCAATGAAACCGAGCTTAATGCTCTTACCAAACTTATTCCAAAATTGGATGCAGGGCTTGGCCTTCTTCTCGTTCGTCTTTTCATCACTCGACTCGTCTGATTCTTCTTCTGCCTCGGGCTCCTCATCGTCCTTCTTCATGATCCCCTTGATCATTTCCAGAGCTTTCCGGACCAATTTGCGCTTGATGACGTTCATAATCTTACTTTCTTGGAGCATTTCACGGGAATGCGGGGGGAACGCGTGTGAAGATGATGTACACAATCAAAACAAAAGGAGCGAGTGGACGACCAAAAGGGATTTCTTCAAAACTTGTTCAAAACTTGATCATGATCCCGATGCGGAATATGGATCCCGATTTACATTATCGACGTGTATGATCGCGAAGGAGGATCCCCACTCCATTTTCCATCCGGGCCCGCTCGCTGTATCCACCGACATGGAGGCACCATCTACCATAACAACCCCAAGAGTAGGGTTCAGTTGTGTCGTGCCAATGTACTGTCACAAGACATGACATAATTGCCTTACCGGTAAGTCTTCTCGTGCGGCACTGAGGTATGGAAAGGTAGATGCTGTAGGGTACCAAATGATCTTACAAAGCTTTTGATCGAAGACGCTTTGCCGCACAGTATACTTCTGAGGCCTTCTGCCACGGATCCTGCTGCAGAGTAAAAACAGTCAAAACTATAAAGCACTGGACGTTTGTCAATCAATCGCAGCTCAATTTGCAAGCCTTGAACTGTGTTGCAGGGGAAAATTGTTTCTAGAAACGCGTTAGTAATGCAGGCTGCATGGTTGGAACACGTTCCAACCGTGCAATTTTAGAACAGAGAGACTCGTCCCTCCTATGTGAGACTAATCGCAGTTGTGGACACTTCACTAAATTTGTTGTTGGCAGTGTAGTCGTAGACACCTGCCAAACATCCCTCCACATCCGAACCAAGACATGCTCCTGATTTTATGCCTGCGCGGAAGTCACTCTCATATGAAGGCGTCCACGTGTTCCGCCTCTCGCCTTAGCTGCCTCTCAACTTGGAAATCAGACTCCCGCTTGACGCTTTCGCGGGTAGATAAATTATAACCGTTCTTGTGACACTATGCCGCGCGTTAGTCAGAGAGAGATAGATGGGCGAAGCATTAAGATGAAAGAGCTATGGTTCGAGCAACCGAAAGTATCTGAAACCTCAAAGCAAAGAATTTCATTATCGTCTTGGACGTGACTTCAAAGCAGTGATGCGGCTGGTCTTGTGTCCGCAAAAGTTGTACAGACTTGCAAAACTATGATATTTTCGTTACAATTCTCCAGGGTAAGTAGAGCCGCTACGGGCGTAATCGAAAATCTTCCATGACAACAGGTCCTGTAGTCGGTACGAACCAATTCGGTGCAGCAGACGCAACGGAGCCATGGCCGAGCTTGCCAACAGTGGTTTGACTGTGGTTGTGAAGCACGAAACCCGCACACCACTGACTATGAGGTCTCCATTCAAGGAATGGGGATTGAAAAGCCCTCTGCCTGTCACACTAGACACTTGTACCACGCGTTTCGGCAACCTATCTGCCCCGATGAGAAAGTCACCGACGGCAATATCGGCGGCCTTGAGGAGCATCGGCATAGAATCCTGTCCTCGGCGATACACGTAATGTCCAGGTGACACACGCAAGTTTCCTGTTTTCTCACTGTCAGCATATTGAACGTGCACAAAACTCGCCACGGCATGCGGATCCGCGTGTGAGTGCATGAAGATTTCACTCGGCGTTTCTAGGTCGGTTGAAGCTACAGCATCATTCCGCGATATGCTTTCTATAGGTTGGCGACTCCCATCGGCCATAGTAACTAGCTCTCCGGCCGGGAAACACGCTCTCATCGACTCTTGGGACTCCTTAAAATCGTCGCTTCTGATATTCACTTCACCATACTGCTCCAGCTTCCCCGTAACTTGGGTGATTTCCATTGGTGGATCAGCCTCTGTATATTCTTCGACAAAGTACTCTGTGTCATTGTACCGACCTGATATCCATCCGACAAGGGCGCGAGAATCGATTCTGACAAACTCGCTAGCCTCATCCGTTTCGTTGCACATGTCCCTGCTATGTATGCCAACAAACCATCCGGGGCTCGGAACAAGTTGGGCAATACAGCTGATGAGTGAAAAGTCTGCTGAGATCTTAAGAATGAGATCTTCAGACTCGTCGTTTACCACCATATCCCTGATTGAGCCATTGTAGCTTAAGATATTGTCTTTGTCGGGTTCGATCTCATTCCGAAGTTTCTCATCAGAATTGTTGTCGTCCTGGTCAACAAATTTTTGGATAGCGGGTGAGGCAGTTCTTTGCGGTGTCCACATGACGTACTTGTCGTTGTGAGAGGCGCAATGCATGCGTCCAAACCCGACGGGTCCCTCGGGGGGTTGGCCGGGATCATTCTGAAGAGTCCATTCGTAGGTAAACGAGACGGTGTAATTAATGGTCCCCTTGCACTTAGCAGCGGCAGCTACGAAAAGGTGGTGTATGTAAAAGATGACAAGCAAGGTGACGTATGAATGACGAAAGGCACGGGTCGAAATAGCAGTGATCTCTCGACGCTGTGCAATTTGGTTCCCGAGTATTCAACTAAATCCCCGGGATATGCAGCAGCCGCGCTTTATGCAATTTCAGATCTGGTATGTCGACATGTCGATTGCGATGCAGAACATGTGCAAATAAATGCAACAGGGAAGAGTGAACACGAGAGCCTTTCAGTTTTTGATGAGAGCAAGTGGGTGGTGACTTTCCCCGTCGTCAGTGCGATCGTTCGCGGGACCGGTGCTGATGAGCTCATTCTTGCAGCCGCACATTGCCTGGGAATTCTAGTTGTTCATGCTCCACTGCACAAGATCGGTGAGGCTAGTTCAGTTTTAGTGCAGACCATTTGGCATCCAACAAGTTCGCGGTGCTTGGGGATCAGTTCCGCGACTTTTGCGTGTAAAGTGCGTCCTGTGTGTTTGTAAAAAGTCGTCCGCATGTGTACAGCATAACCGAAAATGCGCTTCTCGTTAGTCCATCGGTGTCAGCGTCGCATTTGATGTGTCGAGGCCCTCGGCCTCTATGCGTGCCTTTCGCGCGCGCTCCTTGCGCTGCTCGGGGGATTCAGACGACTCGGAGGATTCGGGGATGTGAGGGAGCTGGGATGGGAGGTGGGTCTGCTCCTCCTTTGCGACGCAGATGGAGGGGCGCCGCACGACGGCGCGATGCGGGCGCCGGAGTCATCGTTTTTGATCTGCTCATCGTTTGCGTACAGATGTTGGCGGAGAAAAGTTTGCCTGGAGACAAAAGTTGTAGTACAGCTCTGTGCCTTCGCTTTTTGTGTGGACAAAAGTATTGCGTTCACCGTAGATTGCTCCGACGCCGCTATGTGGAAGGCGAGATAGAAAAAAAAATCCTAGTCAATCAAAATTGATGGGCTTGCGCATCACGCAAATTTAGTACCGCTGGAGGGTACTTGTAGTTGAGCCCGTGCCGCACACTTCTCCCGGCCCCCCGCCCGTGCCGACCTTCCACCTTCCACCTTCCACCTTCCCAACTCACACATTCTCACCCTTCCCTACGACGACTACTCCGGCTCCCCGCCCGTGCCGACCTTCCACCTTCCACCTTCCCAACTCAAACATCACACATTCTCACCCTTCCCTACGACGATTACTCCGGCTCCCCGCCCGCGCCGACCTTCCACCTTCCACCTTCCCAACTCAAACATCACACAGTGTGCACACTCCTCCCGGCTCCCCGCCCGTGCCGACCGTCCACCTTCCACCTTCCCAACTCAAACATCACACAGTGTGCACACTCCTGCCGGCTCCCCACCCGTGCCGACCTTCCACCTTCCCAACTCAAACATCACACATTCTCAGCCTTCCCCACGACGACTCCTCCCGGCTCCCCGCCCGTGCCGACCTTCCACCTTCCACCCCCCCCCCGTGCTGACCTTCCACCTTCCACCCCCCGTGCCGACCTTCAACCTTCCACCTTCCTAACTCAAACATCACACATTCTCAGCCTTCCCTACGACGACTGATCCTGACCCAAACGCATCACTCCCACCCCAGTTGCAACTCCATTTCCGACCCCTCACCCCCCCCGTTTATTGGAAACTTGGAAACACCTGCCATGTCTGCGCCTTCTGCAGTACCTTTCGTAGTTGACCTCACAACTGGACAGCCGTCCTCACCAGCACCCCAGTCACCGCAGTCGCCAACGGACCACACACTACCACGCACCCCACTTCCTGACGCCGAACACTCACAACCCACCGGCGGCGTTGTAACACCACGGTGCACAGCACCGCTTGTTGACTTTTGTCTCCATGGGGGCCTCGTTGTGTCCAGAGGTAATACGGTACAGGATAAAAATCCTGTGCTTCCTACATTTGATTCGACATGGGCAGGCCTGCCTTGTGTACAGTCACGGGCAGACCGTGCATTGTGCACGAATGTGAGGGATGGCCCCGAGCCCATGAGGTTGGATATTGGAAGGATGAGGGGCCGGCACAACTGGCATTCGGTTCCCATTCAGGATTTAAGTTTTCGGAAGTATGTGCTGCAGCACACAGTGCACCAGAAAGGAGATGTGAAGCGGTTCCGTCAGCTCGCGATGCAGGATAATGCATCGGCCATGGAAGGGTGGAGTCAGTTTGCTGCCAATAGCAACTATTGGGAGGTGCCCAGTACATTGACGTGCGGCCGCACTTTCGCCAGAGATGTACTCGATTGTTATTATCTTGACGAAATGGACTACGTGTTGCAGTCCCGTCATACCCTACGTCGCCACAAGTTCCCTCTTTTCGCTGATCCATTGATGGGGCGTTGGTGGAATGCTTTCAAGCACAGAGCAAACTTCTCATACGAGCGCTATACGAGGAATCGC